ATAAATATAATAATAATAATTAAAACATAAACAAATTAGTATCCTAATTATTAAACAATAGAATATCCATATTGTTAAACAATACTAATACTAAAAGTAATAGTATAATTAAAACTAATAAAAATTTCACTATAATAAACTATTAATACTAATAATACTCTAAAATTTACTCATAGGCTAAATGGAACTTTTTAGTCCCATATTTATTCTGAATATAATCTATCCATCTTCTCCAAACAGAAATGTATCTTTCTTGTGAGTGATCCTTCAAATAGGCAGAAATCTTAGCCATTTCTGCTAAATTTGACACTTTAAGCGTCCATTCTTCTATAGTAGGTAAGCAATCCTTCTTCCAATATTGCCCTACTAATAACCTTGCAGCTGTTATCAAATTCAACATCAAGTTAGTTTCTTTAGTATCACAATCTGTAATAACACCCAACAAAAATAATTGTGGAGTGAACTTTATCTTTCTCTTGAAAATCTTTTGAATGTTCCACCAAATCTTAATCCAAAAAGCTTTTATATTTCTACAAGTCCACCAAATATGAAAATAAGTAGCATCCAAGCTACCACATCTCCAACATTTGGGCTGACGCTCAAATCAGTCTTGACATCCCCCTTTTCACCACCATGAGATTCCTTAAGATTTCTTAAGTCTTCCTCACTTCCAGATATCAAAGTAGAATCTTCAATATAGCTGACATTGTTGAAGTTTCTTCCCTCAATTTTAATTCCAGTTACTCTAGTTACTATTGTTCTGTTCATAGGTTAAATAAAGTGCCATTATATAACTATGGCAGATTCCTTTCCTTGTTTTGAATCATCATTTGTAACAGAACATTTTTAACATTAGATAAATGATTATGGATTGTTTTTTTCTCAATTTCAGATCAACTGTCACGTTTGCACATGATCTTGAAACCTTTTATGTTGAGAAGAATAAAGAAAGATGTGGAAAACGAATTGTCAGACAAGGTGCCAGTCAAAACTACAATAAACTCTTTTGTCCTCTTGAGTTTTTTTCCTTATATATCATTGTGTAATTTTTCTAACTGATGTGAAATCAGCATTCTTAAAAATGCTTTTTCAATATCTATTGGGTTTAAGGTGGACATCCCTTCAGCTAAATAATTTGCTTCAGCTAAAGCTATCCCTTTAGCTCAATAATCTGCTCTCTTAAAAGAAAAAGGGAAAGCTAATTGCATTTATTTTATATTTTCTCTATAGTACTCTCGGGAACTATAGTACCCCCCGAAAACTGTTTCCAGGGAGCTCTGGGAATTGCTATAGGGAAAAAAAAATAGGCGAAAATTACCTCATTTGACCAAAGTGCATCTCGGGATCGATCCTTTCTAGAGAAATGATAATATTTCTCTACTTTTAGATTTTGTGTATCTGCATAAATAAATATATTTGACCATAAAATTAATAAATCAGAATAGTAAACACCTGAAAGTCAAAGACAGTGATGCCATCGGCTAATCCTTTCAACCCGGAAGCGTTTCAGTGCTTCCGACATGATTGTAGTAGTGGTAGTACTCTTTGTGAGTGTTTGTTAGGTACTTGATTTTTCTTTGTAGTGATTATCATTGCAGCGCAATGATAATATTTTACATAATTAAGTTTTTAAATAACTTTTAAATTATCCAATATATGCAAATTAAGCAACAAGAAAAATAAATCGTAAGACTAAGAAAAAGAGTTGTGGAAAGAGAAGAAGGAGCAAAAATCAATCAAATGAGCAGAATCTCCATCCAGTTCCATGTATCAGTAGCTGAGAATATTCCTGAGCTTTATACCTGTATGCAGTTCTGAACAGTACAAATAATATTTGTATTTCTCTGAGTCAAATTTATTTTTTAATCTTCAGAAAATATATCAATCATTGATGAACATAAAGTATGATACACAAATCCATAACAAAAATGTGTTACTTCTAGACTAGGCTAAATTATACAAAGCTGTGAAGAAGTAACTTTGAAAGTCTTTGTTTTTAAAGAGAACTCTTATGTCTCATGTTATATAGTAATATTCCATAGATTTTTGACGGGGGTTCTTCCTATCTGAATATTTGTAGCTAAGAATATTTATTCTGCATCCCTGACATTACAATGAAGATTTCTGGGAAAAACCTCTTATTCTCCAAGATTGTGTTTGTGAACTGGGATTTAATATAATGTTCTATTGGCAATAGCTTAATCTATTTTCCTATCTCTTAGATCGAGATTCTTATGTATTGCCAGCAGACCAGTCGACAGAAATTATTATATCAAGCTCTGAAGAATAAGATTTCAATTGATGACCTTTTACAATCCTCCATGGGCACTACTCAGCAAGCCCAGAACACTACTAGTAGCCTCATGAACCTTGTCATGCAGTTCAGGAAGGTGAGTATAGGAAAACCTATTGTCCTGAAATGCTTGTCTCAAGAAAAGGTAGCTGTATACCCATATTCCAGTGGTGGCGAACCTACGGCACGTGTGCCAGAGGCGGCACTCAGAGCCCTCTCTGTGGGCACACGTGCCTTCGCCCCAGCCCTGCCTCCTCCCATGGCCCCCTCCTCACCAGCAGCCCCTCCGGAGGAGTGTCGCCCCCGGGCACAGCCCGCGCAGAGCAGCGCAGCCAAGGACATGGCAGCCGGGTAGCAGGGCCAAGACTCCACCCTCACGCTCCATCATGCGCAGATGATGCTGCAGGGCGCGGGTGGAGGGTGTAGCCACCATGGCGCTGCTGGGTCACCTGGGTGATCTGTTGTGGGCTGTGGAGGCGGGTGGCCCTGCGGGCAGGCGGGGCATGGGGTGGCGGGCAGGGCGGGGGCGGAGTGGTTTTTGGGCACTCGGTCTCTAAAAGGTTCGCCATCACTGCCATATTCCACAATGCATGATTAACAGGTTGCATTTGCTTAACTTACTTAAGCCCTTCCTCCTTTGTTTTATAATTTGCAATGGTAAACCTTGCCATTTTGTGTAGTACAGTATAGTCTGTTGGAAAATAGAGTGTTTTGGTAAGATAATATATGAGTATGGAAAAGGCAACTGTGCCTATTCTAAAAGAATGTATGTTGCAATTTATAGTTTACAAATTGTTTACAACAGTCAGTGTAGAATAGTGGTTAGATGTTGAACTATGACTAAACAGACTCAGATTTATTTCAATTTGGTTGTGAAGTTCTCTGAGTGACTGTGGCTGGGCTGGACAGATTGCCTTGTTCAGAACTGGTTCATAATTGGGAATCTCCTGGACTCAGCTCCTTTTTAAAAAGCAGGTAACAACTATAGCCAAGGGGGACCATTACACAACATATTCCAGGGTTTCAGTTGCAACCATTCCTAGATCAGGAGGCCCTGTCTGTCATTACTTATCCTTTGGCACTTCTCAGTTGGATTACTTCAGTTTGCTGTACATGAGGCTGCCCCCGAAAATCATCTGGTAACTACAGGGTCCAGAAGGCAGAGACTCAAGAACTTGCAGGCGCTTCTTGCTTCAACCAGTTAATACTATTGCTCTGTGAATTGTACAGGTTGACCCTTGGCTTTAAGGCACTGGTTGTCACTTCCAAAGCTCAAATATCTTACTGCTCACAGCAGTATCTACCCTTCCAGAAAGATCAGGACAGAGGGCTCTCTTTGGGACCTTACTTTGAGGGAGTGCTGTCTTCAATGCCGCAAAAGTGAACCTTCTCTATTACGGCCCCCTTCTCTGGAACAACATTCCCCCCAGAATTAAAGAATTCCCAAGTTTTATCAGGATTTTGTAAGTTTTTGTATGAAGCCTTTTGTACTAGACATATAATACGAGTTCCCTTACAATAAGTGGTTATTTATATTATTGTTTTATGAAATGGGAATATATGATATTGTTGGGTATGTTATCGTTACGTATGTTGCTTTGCATTGTTTTATTCCTTTTTTATTGATAAGGTATGTATGCCACTTATAGTTATTTGTGACTAAAGTGGCATATAAGACTGATGAAAGAATAACTGTCTCTTAATCTAATCTGCTTTACAGGGTAACTATGAGGATAGAAAGGGAAATGGTCATATGCTAATGTGCCTGTTTTGAGGAAAAGCTGGGTAAAAGATTAAACCTCCAAAGATGTAGAATATTATTTTTTCCAGTAAGGAAATGAATTATTACTTTTCCGTACAGGTCTGCAATCATCCAGAGCTCTTTGAGCGACAAGAAACATGGTCTCCATTTCACATTTCATTAAAGCCATATCAGATTTCAAAGTTTCTCTATCGCCATGGACAGATCAGGGTGTTTAACCATTCACGAGACAGGTAAGTAGTATTATATTCTATTCAGTTTTTCCAATGCAACTGATGAAGTCAGGGGAACCTCTTCAGCTATTGCTCTTAAGAAGAGATCTGTAGCACCTTCAGCCCATTTTAATATTATGATAAAATGGCTCATGGCTTAGCTGTATAGGAGTACAGTATATACTTAGGTATATACCTTAGGTATATACCTAAGGTATATATCTTAGCTGTATAGGAATACGATATATATAGTATATACTTTGGGCTTCTCAAGATAATGATTTTGGCTAACAATCTAAAGACAACAATGTCCTACAATTCTTAGAGCAAAGATAAGTGACAAAGCAAGTTTGAATTCAATTTAGTCAATATTTACATCCTCAGATTTTAAATCTTTTTAATTTCAGGTGGTTGCAGTTTTTACTATCTCCTTTTGCGCCAGACTACATTCAGCAATCTCTGTTCCATAGAAGGGGTAAGTTAAAGTACTGGAAGAACATTAGGATGAATTTAATGCAAATCATTTTACATAAAATGGCAATGGCTTAGCTTTTTTTCTCTTTACTTATATTTAAAATTGTATAGACAATGATGGTATAAACATCTTAATTAGCTTATTTCATAATTGAACTGACTTCTATTTTAGCATTTCTAAATATTCAAATTACTTAAATCTTAAAAAGTTGGTTTTTTACGCTATCTCTGTCCTTTTCAAGATTTTCCTCATACTAATTTTCCTTTCAATATTTACGACTTTTCTTTTTTTTTAATTCTTTCAAGATCAAAATTGTTCTTGAGGTTATTTTTTGAAGTACTGCATATGATAATGAGCAGATACTTAAAACACGTTGTGATTCTTCCATGCATCTCGTTCTTATTCGCTGGCCCTCTTCTTCCTTCTTTAACCATTTTCTGTTATTCCTTACCAATGAACTTTTCCTGTTTTATTCTTGTATTAAATGTTCCTGCTGATCACAGGCTGCCAGTATCACTGCTTTTCAGAAAACATTAATTTTCATAATAATCTCAGGCTCATGTGATTTTTCTGCTCTAGAGAAAAGGCACACTACAGATACTTTTTGTTTAACTACCGTAATTGGGACCAGAAACTTGTTGTTGAGTGAAACAGTTGCTAAGTGAAGCCACATTGTGCTTGTGGTTTTCCTTCATCATTCTTTTGCTTTATAGATCTGAGAATGTCATAAATGTGAGGATAGGTTGCAAACTTACTTTTTCATCACTGTCCCAACTGCAAATGGTCCAATAAACAAGGACTACCTGTAATTGCATAGGACAAAGTTATGATTAATGTTCCCTCTTGCATCTTATTTGTCTTTCAAGCAATAAATTGTTTTAATTACCAAACATAAAGAATGTGAAACAAGGGAGAGAGGCAGATGTTCATATACAAGCCCAAATTGTGTTTTCCACTTCTCAGTTTTTATAAAGTCAGCGTGGCATCAGTTCTTCGCAGGAACTCATTTTAATCTTGTTATTTATATGTTATAGGTGCTGAGAAAGGGAGTTGTTTCTCTTTCCTACGGTTTATTGATGTTTCTCCAGCAGAATTGGCAAACCTGATGCATAAAGGACACCTAGCCAGGTGAGAAATCTTGAACTAATAGCACATTTGGTTTAAGTAAGTGTAAGAATAAATTTTAAAAAATTATGAATAGAGTCTATTGCAATTTGGGGGGGGGGGGCAGAAATACCCATTGCATGAACAATATTACAAATACCTAAATACCATTTATACCCTCATTTCCTGTACTTTAAAAAATTGTATTTGAATGATCAGTTCTTGAAATTGAACAAATAAGTGTGTAGTATGAATGTAGACCAATTATACCAATTGTGCACTAATGTCCCTGTAGATCGTAGCAAAAAAAGGAATAATTTACACAAACAAGAAACTATCCTGCATTTTTTTTTAAATAATTACGCTTCCAGGTTTTTGCTTGCATCAAGCTAAACCATTCTGTGTCTATTTGTTATCAAAGACTTACTGTTGTTCTCTGTAGAACTATTTGTTAGCTAAACAATATTGATCATTCACTATTTGCTAGTTTTAAAATAAACCTTTCTGCTTATAAGACATGCATATAATGTAACATTTCATGTGTGTGGAGTTGGACTTTAGAATTAAAGGAGGACAGATTGAACGGCTAAAAGTTACGCCAAAATAGCTGTTCTCTCATATTCATGTTTTAAAAATAATGGTTCATTAAGCAATTCTCCCCTTTTTGCATATATTTGACTTAACAACAACAATAACTATACAAACTGTATAGATCAAGCCCAAAATATCTGCTGCAAGGCAAGGCAGTCGTTAATGTGAGTTTTGCCCCATTTTATGGCCTTTCTTGCCACGGTTGTTAAGCAAATCACTGCAATTTTTAAGGGAATCATGCAGTCGTTAACCGAATCTGGCTTCTCCATTGACGTTGCTTGTTGGAAGCCAGTTGTGAAGGTTACAAATGGTGATTACGTGACTGTGGGACAGTGCAGCTGTCATAAATATATGTCAGTTGCCAAGTGCCCAACGTTTGATCACTTGATCATGGGGAAGCTGCAATGGTTGTAAGTGTGAAAAACGGTCATAAATCATTTTTGGGTGCCATTTTAATTTCTAACCAACTAAACAAATGATTGTAAGTCAAGGATTATTACACTCCTATTCAAAAGGTGTGAATGTGCACTCTTTTTTTCCCTCCAGATGGTTAGCTCTTTTCCTGTCTTTGAAAGCCGCCTACAGGCTCCACCACTTTCGATTCTGGAAAGAGCCAGAAAAAGAAAACCAGCATCAGTCTCGGTATCTGAAGAATCAAGATTTTGTGCTGGATGTCAGCTTCCCACTCTCCCCACCCAACTTGCACAACTGCACTTTGCTGCAGGTACGTAACATCTTCATTTCTGTGCAAGGAAAAATAGTTTTAGTTCAACAAATCATCAGGAATTCTTGCTAATAAGTGAATATCCTCTAACAGTCTTACATTTTTCCCTACTCATACATTTAAGGCATTCCAGCAGTCTCAGAATTAAATAATCTGATCTCCTCTAGGAAACTTCAGCGTGATAAACAAACAAACAAAAAAAAAGCTGTAGCAGATAGTTTAGTTTGCCATCTTATTCATTGCACAGACTGAGTATATCTAAGTGGTACTTATGGTGAAACAACTCTTGTTTCAATATTCAGTATTCACCTTCTAGGTGTCATGGTCCCTAGCAACATGGAGCAAGGGAACCAAGGCACATGGAACGACATAAGAACTACAACTCCCTACTATCTGTTTTAATGCATAGGAACTGAAAATATGTCTCTTATTTAATTTCTGTGTAAGAATCAGAACTGCTTTTGTATCAAAGAATCTTAATACCTTTCCTAACAGGTTCATTTTTTTTAGGAGTGTTATATTGTAATGTCACTCCATTTCTTGGAGCTCTTCATCTGTTATAAAAAAGAAATATAAATGGAGGCCAGTGGCCTCAGAATGTCAGAGCAAGGTAGAAGTTTCCTACTTCAAATGAACATATTTGATCATTGCTCATTTTTGTCATTTCTTAGAACAGAATTGCTGTGGCAAAACGTTGTCCAAATCTTGGAAACCTTTTTAAATTTTATCTTTTTTAGGGCCTTGTATTCACAAGCCATTGTAAAGCAGTAATTGGCCACTCGGATTACATCATTCATCAACAGTCAGCTACCTCATGGAAACAGTATTGTCAAATCACAGAGCTGCCGCCTTTTCTGACCGCTGTGAGCCCACAGGTAAGTCTTTGTTAATCCTTTTTAACCCATTTTGTAATATTTCTATGCAAGGAATTGTCTACGTTCAACGTTTTTAATCTTATAACTGTTCTTCAAAAGACAGCTGTTTCATTCTTTTGATAATTTGGGTGGCCATTTTATGCTCCTCTTCCTGCTCTGATTATCCATTCAGACGGGCCATACACAGGTCACTATGTGATTTTCTAAGGGTCTTGTAGACCTGTACTGTCATACTGATATTCACATTCTTTTTTGTTAAAGGCATTCTGTAATAGGCTGAGCTTTTTCACAACAATCTCACAAACTCTTGATACTTTTGTTGAGATACTCAGCTCAGTTAAAATTTGCTCATTTTTCAGCAGCAATTTGTAAAGTTAGCATTTGTAAAGACTATGACGAAGGTCATGTTTTTATGCACATCTGCAAATAAATATAAGAGTTTATAGTAAGTATCTTAAGTTTTTAACTTATGCAAAGTAGGAAAATAATTCATACAAATTTCCATAAGATTCAAGATCCTTTTTAAGGCTTGTTTCTGTTCAATTATTCAATCAATCATTGAATAATTCTTAAAATCTGAAGAGTATCTACTTGATTTATATGTTATCTCTGTTTTCTTGTTATAACATTTTTAAATCAATTTCTAAAATAGGTTTTTATGACTGTAGCATTTAGCATTGTACCTAGTTAGCTCCTTACGTCAATACAATTGAAGTCCTTAATCTGCTCTGGAAGGATAGTTCCATTTAGAGGGGACCCAAGTGGGATAGAACGGGGAAGGGAGGAAGGGAGATGGGTGTACAAGGGGTTCCCCAATTATAGCCAGACTGGGGATGAATGCTCCTTGAGGTATAGGATGGCTGGAGGTGGCTGCTGCCAGGTGGATGAGGATTTGAGCAACTTGTGATGTTCTTGCCAGCTTCCCCGTTGACTTTGCTTGTGGGAAGCTGGCAGGTAAGGTTGCAAATGGCTATCAGAAGATGCTGTAACCATCATAAGTGCAAGTGGGTTGTCAAAACACCCAAATCATGATAAAATGACTGCAGTGGTGCAGGGACAGCTGTTTTACTTTGAGGACTAGTCATAGATATCACTCATTCAGCACTGTTATTTTGAATGGTCGCTAAATGAGAGGTCATGTATTGTTCTTTATGTCCTGTCTTGAGCAAACGTTTGAGGATTCCTGTTTCAGATGTAATCTCTGTTCATTCACATATATTGAAAAAAAACTGTGATGCTGAAATGTTATTCTCATTCTTTTTTCATAGTGAATAATTAGGTAGCATTGTTCAGTTGGAAAGTTGTGGTCTTGATGCAGTTTATGAAAGCCTTTTGAAGTTCTAATTTCTTAGTGGTAGATGGCAGTATTGCGTTGTATTGCCAGATACTATGCACTTCATTCCGTTCTGGGTTTAGAGCCAGAAGTAATTTTTTTTCCAGCATCCTTTTCATTAAAATTCCCTTTAAGATATTTTTTATTTCTATAATATCTATAAATTCTCCAGAAATTGCTTTCAAGCTGTCAGTAATGAGAAATTTGAATAAAATGTGATTCATAATACTAATCTATGCTTCTAAATTCAGGAAACTAAAAAAGGGCATCAAACCCATAGATGATTTTGACTTTTAATATGTAAGATATGTTCACTGTAATTTGCCTCACTAAAATGTTTATTTTTCCAAAATTAGGAAAAAATATTTTCAGAAATTATTTTGGGAGCTATATGTTATGTAGTATGATACGTAAAGAATTGTGAACTTGATAGTAATCATTAGCTTTAATATTAATATCACGGATCCATAATTGTGTATTTGTTTATTGTGTTATGTTGCTTTAAGTTATGTTTTTAAATTTATTTTTATTATTCTTAGCTGCTTTAAACATTAGTTCCTGATTAAAAAATAAATACAATTCTGCTTCCTAACAATTTTTCTGTTAGAGATGGGGCTTAAGTTGCAAGGTCTAAAAGGAAGCTCAGTCAGACTCAATTCATTGGTCAGATGGCTAAGGGCTCATGAACTACATTAATTCTGGGTTCACGTGCAAATATTATATGCATCTGAACTACCTTCGGGCCCATCACAATCTCAATACTCATCCAAACTTTTTCTCCAAAAAAAACCATTTATAAGAATTCTGTAACTGTAGTTAAAATATACTGTAAGTTAGACTTGACTTTTCAGTAATTTATCTGTGTCCTACTTAGATTACTTTTGAGTCTCATGATACAAATATCACTGATTTACATTGATTAACTTTCATCAAAGTATTAAGAAAGAGTTTCTGCTGTGGAGTAGAAGTATTCACAAAGAAAAAGATGTTTTTGTTTCAAACTCAAAACTAAACGTATTGTAATTTGAAAGCTGTACTGAACTATTCTAGGGAGATCACAGTTAAGCAGAGCAAAATCCCAGAATATTTGGGTGGCTCCAGGCTTTGGCCAAAACAAAATACAGAGAGATCATAATAGGACAAGGGTGGTATCATCTCTGTGTTCTGTTTTGCAAGGGCCATGACCACAGATGTTACTTGGAGTCTTGGAATATAATTTAAAATTCAACAGAATATTCAAAGTCTATTAAAGCTCCTCTCAACTTCAACTAATACAATCATTTTGAGTTTCTTTCTCACACATTTTTTTTTCCTAGAACTCTTTTTGTAAGGGTGACAGCACTTAAGGGGAAGTAGGCAAAAGAAGTCTGGGAAAATCGAGAGTGGTCAGATTGGTTGGATATGCTGGGCTTAAAGAATCAATATAACTTTCCAGAGCCTGCCTTTCCCTATTTTCCCTTAGATCGAAGAGAGCATTATGGTCCCCGGGCCACATCCGGTCTTTTGGCTGTCTCTTTCCAGTCCATGTGAGGTCAATAGGAAATTAGAAACCAAATGTAAATAAGTGTATGTCATGCTCAGAGTAGAACTGCATTGCTTTTATTTTGAAGGCGACTGCTACTTTTTTCAATTTTAAGTATGTGCATGCGTGCCTACACCCCTTCACAGTTCTGTTGGTTCAGACCTCCACAATAGTCCCAGTGTCTCATGTGGTCCCTTGGGAAAATTAATTGCCCACCCCTCCCTTAGCTGCCGCCACCGCCATGGTATTGTTAGATGTGTTAGATGCTATTGGCATGACGTACCCAACCTTCCCACCACCACTTTGGTCTTCCCAGCATTATACTTCCCTTCTCCTTAACTGTTATGCTCCCTTTCCCCAACCCTGCATTCCCTATTCTGGGTAGAGTCAGGACAACTGGATGGATGTGAGCATTTATTGGCCGGATGCCCTTCCTGACGCCTACACCGAGTTTGCAGCAGATATTTTTTCTTTGTGCCTTAGGAGAGAAATATCTGCCGCTACCTGGGAGCGAACTCTCAACTTTCCGAGTGGGAGGCGAGTGTCTTCACTACTAGGCCACCATGTCACTCATCCCCTTAAGTGTTATGACTACCTTGAATTCCCCTCCCTGCCAGAAAGAAAATCACTTCTGTCCTAAACATAAAGCATAGCATACATGTTTTAATCTGGACATATATTCACCAGAAACTAGCTCTTCTGTGACCTTTTTTGAACTTCTCTATTTGGGAGACTAGTTTGGTTGAAATCTCTTCTTGTGTCCCGTTTTCCCCCCTTTACACACACACGCACGCACACACACACACACACACACACACAGAGTACAGTACATTACAGATTTTGATTGGAAACTGCTTGGTATCCAGAGATGTAGGATATATCAAAGTGTAGTGATACAACCTTTGTCCTTACATACTTGTAATCAATGTTAACAATGCAAATATAAGAGTGCAGCATGATGTCATGACGTACACATTATTTTGGCATCATCATGGCTAACTGTGCCTGCAGATGACAGCTATTGATAGAGAATAGCAGTCATTTGGAGCTTATATTCAATTTTAATGAAAATGTGTTTATATACTCTGCCTCATTGGTAGATATGGTATTGTATTTTCTCAGGAAAGTAAGGAGCATCAGTATTCCTTCTTGTACTATGTAGTCCCGGCAGTGCAGTTAAACGTATTGTCTCTAGGTAAAGATAGGGTAGGAGTGCTCCAGATCCCTTCCCTGAAATTCTGCTACCTAATGGGACCTTGGAAATATGCCTTTTCCCTGGTTGCCTCTGCCCTATGGAACAGCCCTCCTCCACATGATTCGGTAGATCCCACCCTTTTTAAATGTCAGAAGACCTGGCTTTTTTACTAAGGCATTGGGATAGAACAGGACAGGACAGGAAAAATGGAATAAGGATAATCGGAGCTTGCTCCTGAGCATCCTAATGGGATGTTTTATGTTTTATATTTATTGGTTTTAGTGCTGCCATGAACCACCCAGAGTTGTTTAAGAAAGGTAGCAATAGAAGTCTTTTATTTATAAAGAAGGGAGGGAGGGAAAAAGAGAGAGAGAGGGAAGGAAGGAAGGAAGGAAGCTCTATTAGTAGAATTAATTTCAATAATGGTTGTAAGTAGTTTTTTAAAGGTTTTTAAGAAGAAATTGGACAACTATTTGTTTGAAATGTTATAGGGTTTCCTGCTTGAGCAGAGGGTTGGTCTAGATTACAAGATTGCCAAGGAGTCTGTTATTTGTTAGTGGGCAGGATCACTTTTTCAATTATTGATTTCACATGTGAGCCCCTCTTGTGCATTCTGTTTTGATTCTCTCTGCCATACATTATTTGGAACAGGAGAAAATAATTGCCCCCCTAACATTGGCTCTTTATTTTAATTTTCAATATATGCTTGCCTCTTCTATCTCCCTTCATAGCATGTTTCAGTGAGCTTAAGAAGGCTTCTTATCCAAATAACTGAATGATACGTGATAAATTCTTTTAATTCTGGTCATGAAAGTTATTTTGTTGTATGCAAAATTGAATAATTTAAAAAAATTGCATTCTAATTTAGAGTATTTGTATCTCGGTTTTGACATATAAACAAGAGCATTGTTGTTGTTTTTTGATAAATAACAGATTTTCATATGAGAAACATACCCTGCATTTGCTTGGCTAATATATAAATATAGATTCTAATTCTGATTGCAATTTCCACTGTTCTCTTTATCATTGTCATTGCATCTTATGTCCATCTTGTTGTTGTTTTGGCCTTCAGCTTTGAAAATATATGTGTTTGGGAACAATAACATGTTGTACAGGATGATATCACAGACTTTCTGTTTAGCCTGTTAAAGAGAGATAAGAGAATATGTGTGTGGTGTGTGTGTGTGTGTTTTAAATACAAGCAATCTTGTCTGCTGGAACATATTCCTTATCTGGAGACTATTCAGCCACTTGGAGAATTCGCTGTTTGCTGCTATCTGGATGAAGCAGAATGTTAGCCAAAGATTAAAATAATGGAGATGGTCCAAGATGGTTAGCTTGATATAAAGTTAGATTCCTGTGTTGGCAATACATTTACTTTAGCTAAATAATTTACACTGAAGTTGTCAGCGAAGAAAGTAGTAAGTACAGGAAGATAAAATCCTGTTCCAACTTACTTATTTATTACAGAGATTTAAAGAACAGCTGATTCCATATGATTTTGAGTGCTTTACATAATTACTCAGAACAATAAAATAAAAAGAAAACAGATGATTCCCTGTCCCCCAAATAAAATGCCATAAAATTTATAACCACCCTACCCTGGGACTTGGGAGAATAACCAGGTTTTCAGTGCCTTTGGAAGATAAGGGTAAGAGCCAAACAGGTCGATTAAAACAGTATTTGCAAAGTTACGGGAGATAGATCAGTACTTCCCAAAGATTTCATAATAGGGTATGATCGCTTGGCAATAAATAAATAATAATAACGACCATGTTACTGTTACAAAATATTTATTTACAAAAGTTTTTTATTCATAAGATTGTTGGGTTTTAGAAAGTTCATTGCAGCCAAGACAAAGATTTCTTGCTGTTTATTGACTGTTTCATACTCAGCTCAGATCACAGTTATGTAAGGCATGTTTTTGTAAGCTGAATTATATCATATTGAGACTATGGTCCTACTGAGAACTGACCAGAGCAATTCAGGATCCTAAATCACTTAAGTAATCTTTGTTGAATAACAAGACTTGCCTCAGGAAACAAATGTGATTGACATATGTCATTCTTGAAACCTTTCTTCCTCTCAGGCTTTATGCGATTTTACTCAGTATTTCCATCACTATCATCTTTTATGTTCAAAATAATTTTCTTCTCTTTTTATTAGATCTCATTTTATGCTATTATTTTACTATTTAACATGTTGCTCATCAAACTCTTCTTTGCTCTGTAGTTTCAACCCTGAGCTACAAATATTATCCTTTATTGGTAGTTTTTAGTACATTATAAAACCTATGAGCAAGAAATATATCATCTGGGATACTGTTCACTTAATTAGATACTGAAATCTCACAAGCATCAAATAAGAAAGAATTCCATTAAAAAAACACCTTTATCAAGCCTTAGTCTAATATTTTGTAATGTCTCTTGCTTGAGCTCTCCCTTGAATTATTCATCTTGAAAGATCTAGAGAGCATTCAATTATCCCATAATTACTTTACTTCTGCATTCTGTTTCTAAGGACCAGTCTTAGATATATATTTTTTTTTTCATAAAAATCTAGAATAACTTTAGCCTTTTGATTCACAGGTAACAGCTGTTCCATTGGATTTCTATTGCAATGATCGCAGTGCAGAGTATGAGCGCAAAGCACTTAAAGATGGAGGAACTCTTGAAGCAAAGCAATGTGTATTTTATGGAGCTCCTGAAGTAGCAACCAGCTGGTTAAAACGATGCTCTCAGTTGTTTCCTGTAGCCCCAGGAGGACTATTGGGGCTCAAACCTCCAAATGGCTGGTCTTTCATCAGGATACCAGGTGATTTGCAGTTTTGTAATTTGCTATATATTATAGCTAAGAAAAGAATCTATTGCCTACCCCTGGCCTATACTATAACAATAACTGAGTTAGGAAATGAATTATGTTTTTTAGGGGGAGGCTTCTTATAAGGATAGGAAAAATATCAAAATAACTTCACACATCATTCTCTTCTGACATTACCATTATGAAACTATAACTTTTTTTTTCCTTTTCACTCTTCTGCGTTCCAATTTCCCCTGTTTTTTTGGCTTTGCTTTTGATGAATTGCCCCTGCCATTTTATTTTTATTTTAAGTTGTGGTTAATAAAGATTTTGGTATAGAGTATTTCCTTAATCATTGGCAGATAAATCTATAGAACAAATAAAGGTGTGCGTTGTTTCTAACATGCACATTATATATCAGTATGTGCAGATGAATAAATAAAGCAGCATGCAGTTCATTACATTCCATTTTATTTATTTTGCCATTTGTATTCTGCCTTCCATGTCAAAGTCTACTCAAAGCTATTTATAGAATAAACATTGTCTTGAGCAAATACACAATGAATTTGAAGAGAGATATTTCTTGATGCACATTCACGTATCACCGTTAGTAAATCAAAGATTGAAATGTTCATAAATTTATGTTATTTTTTTTTTGTAATGTCAAATTACTCCTGCAGCTTTTTAATCACTGCAGACCAATGAATATACAGTAGCTAATAAAGATGAACTTTTAGCAATAAGAATAAGTGGGTTTGGATAATGATCATAGATGTAAAAACAAGAATGGAATAAATGTGTCTTAAAATTAAAAAAGAAAAATTTAAAAATGGTGCACAGAATTATCTCCAGTTTATTGCTGGCACATTTTAGATGGTTTTTTTTTTAACTGAGGCAAAATATCAGGCACCTTTGGTAGCACCTTTTCCACCTAGCAGATTCTATTAAAAGGCATAAGTACACCACACTAAATAGTGTACGTTGGAAGGTCTTATTTTCTGTTTCATTGAGTAAAACAGAAACTTTTAATAAACATTCTCCAAGTCATATTTTTCTCATGATATTTCAAAACCTAATTGTAGTACAAAACTAAAATAATAAAACTGCGGAGAAAAGAAAGCAAACAGCAAAAATACTAAGCTAGTACAAGTTGATGGATGTGAAGATAACTTATAGATGTTTGTTGACAATTATAAAGAACTATTAAGAAAGAAATAGTATCGAATAAAATTCTGATATCAGTGGGATTATGCTTGGTTTTGAAATTGTATTAAAGAACAATTTAGTGTAGATTTTTAACCCAAGTTGCAAAGTTGCAGTGATTATCCAAGTGAGTAGCAAAACAGCTGCTGTTGCAGTTAACTCTGTCCTTCTCTCTCAATCACTGTTCCCTATTACGATCACTGTGGGAATCTCTTAAAGCTTTTCCTGTTCTTTGAAAGAAAAATGGTCTTAGATTAAATGGCAGGAAGTGTCTGAGTCCTTTTTGCATCGATAAAAAGCACCAACTTCACTGGCTGTTTACTATGAGAGCTAGCTAGTCCCTCACTGACCTCATTGTGCCCTGCAGACCACTATGAGAGGAAGGCAATTGCTGGAAGCCAAGTTTTAGCATTTTTGACTATCTATTTTTACATTATTCTTAATGGTGTTTTTTGCACAAAGAGTAATAGCCTAATTTCCCCCCTAATATCACAGTCAAGTTTCATTAAACCCAGCTAAAGTGCTTCTTCCATTGAATGAACTGAAGACAGACTGAGTCATTACTTAATAATACAAACTTGTGTCAATAAGGCAGATAGATTTTCTTTGTTAACTATTACAAGTATTGTACGGAAAACAAAAGATCTTTGATTTATAATGTGCATCTTTACACCGAAAAGTTACACCAAAGTCGTTTTTACTGGAAGCAGATAAAATAGGTCAAAAGGGTAAGGCCTTCCCTAAATAGAAGTTTTTTTCACTCATTGAAGGCTACCTCCAGATTTATGACATGAAGTTTGTAAACTTAATTTGCACTGTATGTAACTGGACAAAATCATCTCTGTATTTTCCTTTCTTCCTTTAGACAAAGAGAGCTTGATCACAGACAGTGGAAAGCTTTATGCTCTTGATGTTCTATTGACCAGGCTAAAATCTCAAGGGCACAGAGTCCTTATCTACTCTCAGATGACACGGATGATTGACTTATTGGAGGTAGGAATATCGCCTCTACAGTGGGAATGTTAGACTTCACGGCTAAGGAAAAGAACAGTGATTTATTAGCAGAGCTGTCTTATTTCTGGGAGAGCGTTAGTAGCTGCTACAATGGAATTAATAGTACAGGTAGTCCTCAAGTTACAACAGTTCATTTAGTGACTGTTTGAAGTTGCAACGATACTGTAAAAAGCGACTTACGACCGTTTTTCACACTTATGACCATTGCAGCATACCTGTGGTCATTTGATCAAAATTCAGACTCTTGGCAACTGATCCATATTTATGATGGTTGCAGGGTCCCAGGGTCATGTGATCACCTTTTGTGACCTTCTGACAAGCAAAGTAAATGGGGAAGCCAGATTCATTTAACAGTCATATTACTAATTTCACAACTACAGTGATTCACTTAACAATTGGAGCAAGAAAGGTCATAAAATGGGGCAAAGTTCATTTATCAACCGTCTCACTTAGCAACAGAAATTTTGGGCTCAATTGTGGTCATAAATTGACCTGTAACTATAATTATGTTTCATATATCCAATCCTGGCTGTTTTCTTTTTACTAAAGAGGCAATGGATTATGTTCTAAAAGAATTGCTTTGATGAAAATTCAGGTATTTGTCTTTGAGTTGAATATTTGGGTAGTGTACAGATTTTATTGTCTTTGTCATTCCCAGTGGATCAGAGGATGACTCAGTGTTTTAGCTGCCTCAGTAAACAATTTTTTCCACTTAAGATGGATGTTATTATTTTACAAAATTATTTCTGGTGTCACAGTGACCGCTTCCACTCAACAGGCTTAGTGAAAAGATGTTCAAGTGATTTTAATAGAAGCATTCTATTAATATTTCATTGGTATCTTTTGGAATCTGTAAAATTAAACAATGTCATGCAGTGCTTGCCTTCTGAGGCACTATTCTCCTGGAGATCCATCTGGCCTCTGCCCTGATTCTGCTTAAAATTAAATTTTGGCTTTTCCACCTGATTGTGGTTTAGGGTGTATGATGAGCTGCTTATCTGAGTCTACATGTTAATTTGAATGTTTTTTTCTGTTTTGGAGCCCCTTAATTCTTTTATTTATTATACTGGTTCTTTCTGTTTTTAATATTGCATATTGTATAGAGTCTTTATGTAATCAGGCAACCCTATACGTTTTGTAAACTTATATTTGCTAGGTGATGTGCAAAGATCTGAAATAATTACTTAGCCAGTATCTTGGGTCCTCCCATAACCAAGCCTTGTATAGGCATACCTTGACCTTTACAAGAAGATGACTAATTTTTATTCAAATGTTAGGAAAAGAGACACCAGGAGTACCTGGTGTGGGTCCTTAGTAATGGTAGCACTAAACAGGCAGCTTCAATTGGCAGAAATTTGGGTTGGGAGTGTCAGTAAAATTCTATATCCAGTATTCTGTTTTACTTGTAGGCAAAGTTAATTATTAACATGGATAATTTTAAAGCAAATCTACTTTTAGAAGGGAAACATTATATTTAATCCAATCTTGTAGTTTTGATTTTAAATAACAATTTGTTTTTCTTTTGGGTTTCTGGTTTCAGTGTAGGTAATATAACAAATATCAGTATTTCATAATCTTGACCTTAATTTTTTTTTTAAAATGTACCCTAAACACCATTAATATAGGTTTTGTCGTCGAAGGATTTTTTTAGTCAACAGAACATGTTCATCTTCTATGGTCATTCATTTGAAGTACATAAAATACAAAATAAAAACTATTGCGTTCTTGGCAGTCAGGTTTCGTTTTGCACATTTTTAAAATGTGTTACTTCCCAGCGTAGATACTCATAATATTTCATGCAACTCCGTTCCCAAGGAACAACTATAAGTGCTACAAATTTCAAATGGAGTGGAGCTTCTTGTTTTTTGTTGTTTAGGAATATATGGTTTATAGGAAGCATACATACATGCGGCTAGATGGCTCTTCGAAAATTTCAGAAAGAAGAGATATGGTAGCTGACTTTCAGAACAGGTATGTTCCCCCTCCTCCCATTTAAATATAGTAATAATAAGGTGTGCTGACAAGTGCTTACCTAGCTCCCAAGGAAGAAGCTTCCACCCATACATAAAATCCTGCCCTTGTATTGAGATTTTTCCATTTTGCCGAATGGGCCAAAGCTCATTGTTCTATTGCACTAACATATAAAGGGCTTCTCTGATTCCCCACTTTTATTACATTATCAATCATTCTAACAGCAAACATGAATACTGTGACTATTGAGAGCCTCTGAGAAGAGAGGAAGGTCAGCATGTTAGCAAAAATATGATTTGCAGAACTATAACTTTAAAAAGAAATTCATGCAGCCAAGGTCCATAAAACAATCCAGTGATCGCATAACCACTAAAATAGTGGCATGAAGAAGATTTGAATTTAGTGTACTGTAAATTTGAAATGCCCCATTTCAAGATTTGAGATTGTTGTTTTGAGCTTGCCACAAAAACGTGATGACAATTCATTTGGGTAACGCATTTCTCTCCCCCCCCCCCCCCCCCCCCCCCNACCCATTTCCCCCCCCCCCCCCCCCGCCCCATTTTTGTTAATGTTGAAATAAGAAAAATACCGGAGCCAACATTTCAGACTGGCCACTCTGTTGATATCACTGCAATGTCACTTTGCTGCCTACAACATTTAAAAGCCTCCCCCCCCTCCCCCCAAAAAAAGAAAAGTATGTTTCATCATGGGAACTCAAGTTATAAAGCAATTAATGAAAGACACTGCAATAGTTATTCATTGTATTAGGATGCTTTCAATCTAATGTAACAAAGATATCCTTTAACAAGGATAAAAAAAAATATAAGCAGTTGTTTATACATAACAATCCCCAATATTTTCCATATGGTTTCTGCACACAATGCAGAATGTCCATTTCCTATAATCATTTTCTGATAAATGATGTCCATCCAGTGCCATTCCTTTGCTTAACAACTGTGATTTGATTAACGACCACAATCAAAATGATAAAATCGGGTCCAGTTACATAGATATTCTGCTCCCAATTCTGGTTCCAAATTTTATATCAAAGTGGTCATAAGTGGAGAACTGCCTGTAATATGTAGCTATTGCCACAGGCAATAGACCTGGAACAGTGTAGGTAATGCTCACTCTTAAGTGCCACTCAGAACACTGCTACATGTACTTCTGCCAACTAGATGTGTTCCTTTCCTATGTGTACAGTATAAGCTATCCTCTTCCACAAAACTGTGGAAAACATTTGCCAGGTCTACTGTCTTTCCTCCTGGTGAGGTATTGTAGATATGGAAGCTATGGGGAGCATCAACCTGTGCTGCCATCACACAGCAGCCCACATGGTCTCCGTTGGCTGGTTGCCTACCATATGGATCTTTCAGAATAACAAATGAAAGTTCATATGTTTCCTTGTGAAGAGTAAAACAAAGGAAAAGAATGGGAAATAAAAGGGGGGAGTCCAGTGTTCCAGATCCAGGCAGCTTAAAAATATCCTGGACTAGGATAGTTGTGTTATAGTGGAATGAAAGCATATCTGTACATAATTTTTTTGTTGCACAGAGAGCGAGAAACCTCTGTTTGATGTCTGAGAACTTCATTAAAATTTGACAGAATATCACAGGAAGACTTAAACCTATTATTTTAAGTGGTTATTTGAGATGGAGAGAATGTTTGCTCAGAATAGATGCATTCACTCTGTTGGAAGTTTTAGTTCCTAATTGGTTTTTCAAAATTTAAAGAATTGCACTGTTGAAAATACTCATTTTGCTGCAGCATGATTTTAAAATGTGGGACCTCTTTGAGTCACAGAAATGGATCTAGGAATCACTTGTCCTTAGAATTTACCATTACCTACCTTTGTTTTACTTATTGATGCAGAAATATGATTCTTTACATGTACTTAGAACTCTAGCCTTTAAAGTACAGTTTTTCAAAGAATATATATAATATTTTGATTTCTGACTGTCACGATATAATGTGTGTGTAGTAAAGTGATTACAGCTATGTTTCTTTTCCGTTTCTCTAGGAATGATATTTTTGTGTTCTTACTAAGCACGAGAGCGGGTGGTTTAGGTATTAATCTTACAGCTGCTGATACAGTAAGTAAACAGATTGGCTTGATAATATTTGATAATTGCAATCAGTTGACATTAAAGTAAGAAATCCCATTAATTAAGGGTGCAGACCTAGATTTTTCCAGATAAGAGCTGGAATATGTCTCATTAGTATAGCATATTATTTCTATTATAGTTTTATGTGAATTACTAGCTGTACTCAGCCATGTGTTGCTGTGGCTCAGTCTGGTAAAGGCGTGTATTGGTTTTACGTCCAACAGATGGCGCTGTTTTTCAAAAAAATCATGTTTTTACCTGTCACAGGTGTGACATCTATATAATATAGGTATATAAAAACATGCGCGTATTCGAATGCAACGTTGTGACAAAATTTCAAAGCAATCGGTGAAGAACTTTCGGAGATTTAAGATTTTGAACAAACGAACATTTACATTTTTATTTATATAGATAGTATCAAATTACACCAATACAAAAATGGGAATTTTAAAAAAAGAACTGCTATGCAGAGGACGTCTATGCATTCAGTTTACCCATTTCTCAGTAATACACTTCTTTCTCCAACATCGCTATTACATTGTTACAAATTACATTAAGGCAAAGTAAGATTTATTTTTGCTTGTGGTGAGAAAAGGAACAATTTTTCAATATTTTCTCCCAGAACCTGTAGAGTCAATGTAGTAACAAAATGCTTAATATCTAAGAGTCAGCTATAAAAACTCCTTTTTCTTGTTTATTTGTACGGTTAGTTCCAACTAATTTCTTCAAGGTGAAGAGATAAGTAATGTTCTGGTGATCTTTCTCTCCAGCAAGTGAACACCACAGATCATATAGCCAAATGCTTCTTTTTCTTCCATTTTTCACGTTTTTGAACTGATAGAATAAGTTCTTTACTGACAACAATCACAGATCTACCTTGATTTTTTTCTGAAGTGACAAATATATCATAGTAGAAGAAATAAAAGATGGGTAGCAACTCGCATCTTCCTTGTATCAAACAATAAAGTTTTGTCCTGAAAACTCACTGAATGGGCCAATATCCTTATGATTCATTTTAAAGAACTGTTATAAACATAATCCCTGTAGCGAATTGTAATATTGAGTTAATTTTGTATATGTAACTTGTTTAAAAAAATGTCCTGACAGGTCATTTTCTACGATAGTGACTGGAATCCAACAGTGGATCAACAGGCTATGGATCGAGCTCACAGGCTGGGTCAGACAAAACAAGTCACTGTGTATCGACTGATTTGTAAAGGCACTATTGAGGAGCGCATCTTGCAAAGGGCTAAAGAAAAAAGTGAGGTAAGAGACCAGAATATTAATTATATATGAGATAGCTGGGAAGTGGAATTGTGGGTATTGAGAATGGAAGCCATTTGTCTCTGTTGAGAGAAACTTATGTCTGATAGAAAGACAATCACATTATGAAAAAAAGTATATTAGTTTATTTAAAAGTTCTGACTTAATATAAACTGCTGTGCAGAAACCTATTATTTGACAAAATCTTCTGGCTTTTCTTTGGTTATCATTAGAGTTAGTAGAGCCCTTGCTTTCCTAGTAGAGGGTTTTCTCTCTATATAAAGTAGCAGATAACTGCAGATTACAAGATCTTAGGTTCAGGACCCTGTGGCCATTTTATTCTTTCCACAAGCTGTTCTTCCCATGATGGTCAATTGCCCCTGGGTATATCTGCTCCTCCTCCTTTCTCAGTTGTAGATTTTCCCTCTTCATGGCTTTTTCATGGCAGCTTCGCTTTTACAGAGTGAGTTGCTCAGCTGGTGATAAAGCGAGTCATCCTAGTTTGTTACTAGCTCATGTTGAATCTGTTATATATAACTCTTTCATGGTCTTGGTGAAGGAGCCTTTCATTTACGCTGTTAAAGCTAATGTTACTTATAGATTTGAAGCAGCAAGTGTGAGGCAGTATTATTGTCCAGCAGTATCCAGTGTGTTACCAAGAGGCCTTTCTATAGAGGTTGTGAAAGAATTGTGCAGAGTGCAGATGCCAGCAGAAGACATGTGGCACAAGCAGGATAACTCTCTTGGTTACCATAAGTGAGTGAGTCACTGAAGATGGCCAACACTGATCCAACAAAATCTGCTCTGACTAAACAAGAAGGAGAAGCAATATGGGTACTTTGCATAATGAAGATGGCAATTGCCTGGACAAATTTGTGCAGCTTTCTTGGCAAGACTTTTGACACTACCTTCTTCATAAGTCTGAGAAAGTAACTGACCTAGTTACTCAGCTGGTTTAGTGCCCATGGCAGGATTAGAACTTAACACTCTCCCAGTTTCTGGCTCTAACTAGTTCTCTTGCACAAGCTACCTAAGTCTTAAACAATATATTATGCATATGCAAAAACAGCTGTGTCATTTTGCGTATATGTAATAATTGCATGTATATGTAAAGTAAGAAAAAGGCAAGTTCAGAACAAGAGAAACAAACAAGGTGTGATCTCCAGTAATGACCACTTTTTTTCTCTATTACTTACATTTTTAATATAGTTCTATTTTATGTACCGTATATTCCGGCGTATAAGACGACTGGGCGTATAAGACGACCCCTGACTTTTGAGAAGATTTTCAGGGTTTAGAAAGTCATCTTACACGCCGGAAAATACGGTAGTTGAATAGCAGGAGGACAGCTTGTGAGACCAAGCCCATCTTAAGCCATGTTTTACTTTCTTTTTGGACAGATTAAAAAAAACCCTATTATTCCTGTCCACTCAACTGAGGTATACATAGAACAGGATATGAATAAATAGATTCTTCTATTACCCTAAACCATTATGACTGGTTTAATGTAGGTTACATATATCCAGCTACTGATGTTTGCAAATCATGGCTTATGGCTTTAGCCCATGTGTGAAGGTACTGATGTTTATTCAACAACCATAATTAAAGCAAAATAGCTTTAAATAGCACTGACGGCCGTCTGAGCCAGTCCCAAGCCGAGCGGAGACAATAGGGGAGGGCGCAGCCAGCCGCCCGACTCCGATGACACCGCCCAATCTGCTCCGGCCCGGCCCCTCGGATGCTGGTCCGTCCTCCTTCCTCCTGGTCTCCAGTTGGCCCTCGAGCAAGGCAGCTGGGCGAGTGGAGGCGAGGCGAGGCGGCGTGGGATGGCATACTTGTCCCACCGAGGCTCGCTCCTCTCTCGCTGGCGGGGGCGGGCTCAGCCTTTGGAGAAAGCGGAGGAGGCGGAGGAGGTGGTGGCGGCAGCAGAAGAGTAGCGAGGATCGATTGGTCGCTTGCAACAAAAGGGGATGCAAGCCGAGGCCGCGAGAAGGCGGCGCGGCCGGGAAAGTGGCAGGGGGGAGCAGATAGTTCCTTCTCCCCCGCCCACAACATCAGATTTTTCTTAATGCAATCACTCTCCGGCGGGGGGGTTGCAAAGTATCAATATAAATCTATGGATAGATGTATATAAAAACAAAAAAGGACACGCGGCGAAGCAACTGGAAGGGGCTGCACAAAGGGGCTTCTGTTTGCGCAGCTGGCAACTCTATCTCCCCCCCCCCCCCGCCGCTCCCAGAAGCAACCTTGAGCATTTTCCCTTCCCAAGCGTTCACTATATGGATACTGTATATTCCGGCGTATAAGACGACTGGGCGTATAAGACGACCCCTGACTTTTGAGATGATTTTCAGGGTTTAGAAAGTCGTCTTATACGCCGGAAAATACGGTACCTGTTAGAAAAGTTGATATAAACAGTATAACATTCTAAGGTTGAATTCTAATTTTGACACTGACTAATTTGAAACATGTTTGATTTTAGCAAGGTGGTTGAATTGTACCCTTCAGACTATTCCAGATTTACCTCAGTTCAGTTGTATTGAACTATAGCCTTTGTTTCCTTCAGCCAGAACAACCAATGGTTGTGGTGATGGGAAATGGTGATAGCTACAATCCAATGTGTATAATGAGTAGGTTGTTCAGAACATCAAAGTCCCATTGTTTTTGTGTTGTACACCTGTTTTCCTTTAAAGTGGGATTCTTCATAAGACTAGAATGAAATTACAGACTCACATTATTATAGTAATGAGAAGGAGATCTTACCAACTACCAGAATATTTTGTTTCTTCCTGTTTATTGGGTTTGTCACAGTGGTCTCACAATTGTTACTGACTTCTCAATTCTCTGTCTCCTTTTATTTTTATTTGAACCTGTATTTAGTCATGGATATTTATATGCATATTTCAATATATGCTAGACTGGTTTGGATCATATAATCAAGATGCAGTTGATTTTAACATAATAACAGAGTTATGTTATTTCCTGCTCAGGCAGGAAACCCTATACCACTTGGGACAATGGTTGTCCAATCTCTTCTTAAAAACTTCCAGTGTTAGAGCATTCACAACTTCTGGAGGCAAGTTGTTCCACTGATTAATTGTTCTAACTGTTAGAAAATGTTAGTACAGAAGACATTTTTCAATATATTGATAATCATAATAGTAATAATATTTTTATTTATTTCAAAATTATTTTTATTTTATTTATTTGTATCCTGCTTTTATTATTGTTACAAATAATTAAAAGTGATGAATATATCCAACGCTCCTCCTTCTTCCTATTTTTCCCACAACAATAAGCTTGTGAGGTGAGGTGGGCTATGAGAAAGTGACTGGCCCAAAGAAAATTCTGTGTTCATAAATACCAGTTTAGTCTACAATACATTTTTAAAGGTGTTTTGTTCTGTTGTGGTCTCTAAATAAGCACTGTCTCCAATATTAATACCCTGGGTTCTTTTTTTAGATTCAAAGAATGGTGATTTCGGGTGGCAATTTCAAACCAGACACCTTGAAACCAAAGGAAGTTGTTAGTCTACTTTTGGATGATGAGGAACTTGAAAAAAAATGTATGCTAAATCCTCTTTCCTATCTAACACATCTGCATGACAATGTTGCTGTTTTTGCTTAGTGTTTTGAACAAGTACTAGAATTTGAGGTGGATTAATTTGTCTTTAATTTGCTGCAAAGTTAAATCTTATTTTGGCATTTGATCACAATATGCATTCAAGCACTACCATGGAAAAATTCTACGTTTGAAACAGAATGTGAGAAAAAGGAGGACATTTGCTGCTGCTGCTCCTTATCTAGCTAAAACTTAACAATGCAATACAGCAAGAATGATTCTTACATGAAAATTGGCGTTTTTCTCCTTTAAAACATTTAAAAACAGAACAAATAACAGTTTTTCATTTATAATTAAACCAAGAATACTGTAGCAAGAAAAAGACTGTCACTATAATTCCATTCTATCATTTGCATATTGGTAAATGTTTATATGAGACGCATTTTGCATCTCATATCAGCTAATTCAAACATTTTCTTGGAGGAAGGGATGTGCTATGTTTGAAAGGGATGTAGTTAAAGAACCAGGATAAATAATTGCAGTTAAAGAACTAATACAGACCTGCTTTGTAAACATTAAACTGTGTTCTAATATTTTACAATTATATTTGCATCTGTGCTGTTTATGATCTTTTCCTATATTTCTTAACACAGTGCGTCAACGTCAAGAGGAGAAACGGCAACAGGAAGAAACAAATCGTGTCAAAGAGCGTAAACGTAAAAGGGAAAAGTATGCTGAAAAGGTATTTTGAATATTCCTTCTCCATTGCTTATATTTATAGCATTAAATGTTACTTTTCTCTTCAGACGCTTATATTGTCTGTTCCATTCAGGTTCATTTTTTGCTTGCACTTAATAGCAACTCAACTAGAATATATTTTGATGTAAAATCACAAAGGGATGGAAACCACCAATAGTTTTTAAAACATTGTTTTTCATGTATTGCACATGCACTCAAACCTCAAGATTTATAAAAGGCTAAACTCCTTCATAGAAAGGGGTGGGTATCTGGTCATTATAATTTGATTAATGCTGTAATCTAAAGACAGCAAGAGAGAGTGGGGGAAGATTTATCAGTAAGATCAATTTTTCTGTTTTGAGTGGAATTTTTCTTAAATAAAATTTGCCCAACTTTAGAGTTAACTAAAAATTTTACATTAGCAAATAAAGTATCTTGTTATAAAAGTGCAGCTATTTTCATGCAAATATTTTTATAAAAAACATGTTAGATAATGTAACTTAATTGTAATAGTAAATTATATGATAATATAATATAATCAAAGATGTGGAACTGGCAAGGTAATTAATCCTCGCTTAACAATTCTAATTGGGACCAGAATTTCCATCACTAAGCGATGTGGTCGTTAGGCGAAAAATAATGTGGCTGAACAAATGGGCGCTAAGTGAGGACTATCTGTACTTAATAATCATGATACAAGTTTTTTCACACTTAGAGGTTATATCCCTCAAAGGACAATTGCTAGGGATTAAATTTGAGGTCTGTTTTTTCATGGACTATCAGTAAGTTTTCTAGTAGTACCTCATCCCAGCATGGGATGTGGGACATGATGGATTATTTGGTCTGATCCACCAGGACTCTTAAATTAATATGAAAGTCACATATTAGGCAATATTGTTTTTAATCCTACTGCTTTGTATTGAGTTGGTGAACATTGTTAGCTTAATTTCTAGGACTCTGGTATATTTCCAAGCCTCATAATTTCTTTTTTTTTAATTTAACTGCAGAAAAAGAAGGAAGATGAGTTAGATGGGAGAAAAAGGAAAGAAGGCATCAATCTTGTGGTCCCGTTTGTTCCATCTGCAGATAATTCAAATCTTTCAGCTGATGGTGATGAGTCTTTTGTTAGTGTAGAGTCTGCCATGCCCAGCCCTTTCAGTGAGGTAAGGATCTCTTTAGGAAACAACTTCATAAATAAATGTATTATCAGGTATCTGTATGTATTAGAAAATGCATATATTTCACACGTAATAGAATAAACATTTATGCAGCCGGTTTAGGAAGAAACAGAAAACAAGAAACAAAAGCAAAGGTAAGCAGGAGTGATAGAATATGTGATGGGTAGCAAGCCCATTAGCTTATCTTCTGATGAATGCATATTGTGTGATTTACATAAGTCACTGTAGTGAGCCCCCGCCATCCGGGGAGAACCATTATGAAAGCACCATCATGGCCGTAGTGGCGCAGTGGTCAGAATGCAGTATGGAGGCTAACTCTTGCCCACTGCCAGGAGTTCAGCCTTCCATCCTTCCAAGGTCAGTAAAACGAGGACCCAGATTTTGGGGGGCAATATACGGACCCTGTAAATCGCTTAGAAAGTGCTGCAAAGTACTATGAAGCGGTGTATAAGTAAGTTATGTTGCTATGGCCTCTTGGCATTCCAGAAGTGAATTTGTTTATTTATTTTTCCCATTTATAAAGCTGCCCATCTCAAATATAGTGAATGTCAGAGACAGAGCATATACAGTTAACTGACCAAATAGCTTATCTGTGTTCTTTGAAAGTAGGAGGTAAAGTTCATTGAGAAGAAGGTACAAGTTAGTGCCTAATGAAAGCAAAACTAGGCTAAAACTTTGACGCTCAAGAGGTATATGTTTGGAACAGAGGCATTACAAGAAGCTTTGAGTCATGTGTTGTGAGAAAGCATGTTTCGTTTACTACTGTAATTTAAACTAACATACAGGATTTTGTTTGTGTATGATTTAGATTTCCATCAACAGTGAGTTGCACATGGGTTCCATCCCCCCTGATGAGAGCAGCAATGACATGCTTGTAATTGTAGATGATCCAGCATCTTCTGCACCCCAGTCAAGAGCTACTAATTCCCCAGCTTCCATCACCGGCTCTGTCTCTGACAATGTGAATGGTTAGTACTTATCTGTAACCTTGGCCTAGGCCAGCTGTGCTGACTCGGGAATTCTGGGAGTTGAAGTCCATGAGTCATAAAAGAGCCGAGGTTGCCTACCCCTGGCCTAGGAATACATGTTGCGAATTCCATACATTGTATATTATTCTGAGATTTGCAAAACATTGGGCAAGAGGCAATCCAGAAAAGAATGTCTTATTCCAATATGTTAGGTCAGTAAAATTGTATGCCCTAAATAATTCTCTATATGCTTGAGTTTTGTTTGCTTTTAAATTAAATTCAGAAGTTGATACAAGTGTCTGCAGTGACTTACAAGTGGGAGCTGTATTAATTCTTCAACTTGGCCAAGACATTATTGGTGCCTTCTGCCAGATCACTCTTTTTCTTCAAATGCAGTGCCATATACATTAATGAGAAGAATAATAGGGTCCTAGGAGAGCATATATGAGTGAAGATATTGTATCTGAGATACCATTTGATCTACTTATTGTGGGCTGTTCCTTGAATAACATCTAATCTAAATGTTTTAAATGGCGGGGGGGTGGGGGGAGATTAAAAAAAACACTTCTTCCTGTCCTGTTTCTCATGCTGTGTATGATTTTATACACCTCAATCATATGCTGAGCCAACTTTTTTTACTAAGCTGAAGTGCCCAACCATGGTAGCCTTTTCTTACCAGGAAGGAGTGTCAATTCCTTGGATCATGTTTGGTTTCCCTCTTCGATACTCCGACCACCTCTGTTAGTTCCTTTCTCAAATAAACAACCAGAACTGTGCACATAGATTTGGAGATTTGTCTAAGGGCATGACAGTGTTGGTAATTTTATTTTCAGTCCTTTTCCAAGTGATTCCTAATGTGGCATTTGCCCTTTTTGAAACTCGGGACATCTGGGTCAGTATCTTTATTGGGCCATGATATGGCCCTAAGTATTTTGGGGATGGGGGGTTACTTATAGCAGCCGAGACTTGGTATAGATAAGAAGTTAGTAAAGAGAGTATTTTTATTGAGCCTGTTCTTTTGAAAAGAATATTCATATTTTGGATTTTTTTTAAGTCTACACTTATTAAGCAGACTGACTAAGCTTTTATACACAGAACTAATTAATTTTGAATACAAGTCTTGAATAACATTAAGGAATGGTGGGATGGCTGCTGAGCTGCTGATATAAAATATTTATGGAATATTATGAGATATTACAGTGATAACTCGGGCAAGCAAGACATTTGTTCACTGTCCTTATACATTTAACAATAATTCATAATGGAAATAGAGAGTGCAGGCAATGAAGCATTCTTGTCACAAATATGTTCTTATCTAAGAACGTGGTATATCTGCTAATGGAGCTGGTTTGGAGAATGACATATCTTTAATAAAGTGTACACTGTTTATCCATAAAGGAAAATCTAATTATGCTTATTAGAAACTGTTCTGATATAGTGCTAGATGTTTACACATTTTCTTTTCTTTTTTTTCTTAAGGAATTTCAGTACAAGATTTGCCTGTCACAGGAAGAGGTCATTCGAGTAGAAGTCGAGGTCGGCCCAAAAGTTCAAACCATGGATCCAAAAGTACAACAAAAGGTCGGAGCCGAAAATCAACTGCAGGAAGTGCAGCTGCCATGGCGGGGGCTAAAGCAGGAGCAGCTGCTGCCTCAGCGGCAGCATATGCAGCCTATGGCTACAACGTGTCTAAAGGTAGGCTCTGCTCTTGTGGAGTTATCAGAGGAGACCCAATCATGTCTTCCTGAAGGAATCCCTAATATCATATAAAATTTACATTTGATTCCAGAGAAATATGCAGTTGGGTACAACTGCCTAGTCTTCCAGTCCATATCTTTGTTTTTATTATCACATTTTTTTTATTGGAAAGCCACCCCCGTTGTGGAATCACCTTGCACCAATAACATTTTATGTCACAGAGGTAGATGATGGTTGAACAGACCACATTTTGTTTTGTGGTATTTTTTTTAAAATTGCATTAAAATGAATGGGCTCAGAAGCCTCACACTTAACTATTCTGAAATCTGCATGTTTTTTTTTGTTTTTTCCCCCAAATGTTAGAAGTTATCTTTCTTTTCACTGAAAGTCCTAGTTAATTATCATGCCTGCAGGTTTACTACTGTGCTCACTTAAATAGTTATGTTTCAGGTCTAATCTGTTGAGGAAGTATTTATTGTTGTTACTACTACTACTACTACTACTACTACTACTACTACTACTACTACTACTTTGTGGTGCTTTTCTTTTTCCGTCTAGGTATGCCTTCAGGTAGCCCTCTCCAGACTCCACTTATCCGACCTGCTGGACTTTCAGATTTTGGATTATCAAGCGCCTCTTCCTCCCTGAGCAAAGGAAACAGTGTTTGTGGATCCTCTAAGAACTTAAGCTTAGCCAGCTCCTTGGCACCAGAAACCCCTATTCGAAAACAATATAAAGGAGCCCATATTTCAGGTGGGCGGTAGTAATTTTGAATCCCTGGAACCTATATGTGTCCATATTGGCTTTCAAAGTAGCCCACGCCTACCAGCAAAAGGGTATATAGATGATGCCTTGTTTTCATCCCATGTGGGTGTGAAGATTACTGCACTACTTGTCAAGAGGTGTTTTATGTGCACTTTCATGCATAGTCCAGATTTACTACCCTTTGCAGCATTGTGAGGAAGAAGGTCTGAGACACAGGGATGCTTGGGCTTAACTTTTCCATTGAGGATTTTTCTTTTTTTCTTTTCTTTTTTTTTTTGGTAGCATCTTACAAATCATGCAGGGAAAGAATCCAACTTCCATATGAGACTGGCTGCAAGATCTCCCCCTTCATTCCTACTCATACCAGCACCCTCTGCCCTCATCTTTCAGGTTTCATGGAATCCAGCTTGGTTTTAAAGTAAAGAGATCAGCATATAAACTTTGGAGGTGCTCTGTAGATTCAGAGGAACCTTCCGCACTGCGTCTTTTGGAAGAAGCTGTGGGAAAATAATTGGATGGTTCTAATGTGATGAATAGTGAGCTACCGTAAAGAATAGAGTTCAGGTAAAAGGAGAGTTTTGCACTGTGTCCTGAAAAGGATCTTTTGTCAATATCATGCTTCTGGATTACTAGAATGCTGTTTTATTAGTCAGCCCAACAGTAAAACAGGCTAGAGCTCTTTGTAATGGCATTGCCAGCTCTGTAATCATAAGAGTGGAAAAAACTTTTAAGGTCATAATGTGCAGGAGTCAGATGCATCAACATCTTTTGAGCTCCCTCGCCCCCAAATTCGTTGATATGGGTTTAAAGGTTTTAAAATGGATTTGTGAATGACTTTAAACAGGAATAATTCTGAGAGAGAGAGAGAAAACATCACTATTTTTCCTCTCATGGTGCCGTAGAAGAGCTTTTGGACGATGATTTAGGTACCACTGTTCACTGTATTACACAAGATGAGCAATGCTGTTTTCTTCCCCTCCTGGTCCTAGTTAAAGTAAAAACGTCTTTCATTCCAGTTCATCATATATGTATGCGCATATAGTTTGGTCTTATTTGTCAACAGTGTCCACATCCTTCAGTAGGGTTGGGTTGTTCCACTGTGGTGATCTGGCACTGTATGAAAACTCTGTAAAACTAGCAAAGTTGTAAGAGGTTAATGGTGCCATTTGTGCAACTCTGCTCTGGTACTCCATTCTGAAGGCACATGAACCCTCTGCTTTAGCATGATATGTATATGGTCCTCATTGCACTGACATGAAGGGGGGGAAGGCAGTTCTCTTGCCTTCATATTGACAGTAAGTGGTTGTGTTGTTTTTTTTTCTGGGCATTTCACCTTTCAAGGGAGAACCAGGTTACGAGGTGAAGATCTTAGCTAAGTCAGCAAAGGATTTTTCAGTCTCACGCACCTTGCCTGGCATCCCTCAGTGTAAGAGAGCAAGTGCTTCCTGTTGACTTTGCTTCTGATTTGCACACCTGAAAATAGCAGAAATGAGTTCAGTTAGATTGATTTAAGAACAAAAAAAAAATTGGAGAGATTAATTGGGTGGGGAGGGATATTTAAGTTAAATCATGAAGATTTTACCCGCCACCCTCAGATTCACATGTGTATATACAGTGTTTAGAGGGAATCAGAAAAATGCCAAGCCTTTTTTTCCCCCCTCTTTGAATGTGCTGTCTATTTTTATAACTGAACTTGTATATATGTATAAAAAGAGACACATCTTTCTTTTACTAACTGGAGAAAAGAATCTTAAATAAAATGGAGCAAGATAATTTTATGTAAATTCTGCTTCTGTGGTTTATTGTTTCCGACGGGAAAATGATCCAGTAATAGATATAATAGGAAGTCTGTGGTTGACTGCTGCTCTCTTAAATGTACCTAAGATACTGTTTGTGGACAGTTCCAGATACTTTGCAGATTATAAATATAGCAATATTCTCTGTAAATGTTTTCCGTTACTTACTGCCTTTTATATATATCTAAATAAATGATATTTATAAATGTTCGGAAGAATATTTTAGCCGAGTATAGGAGACCAAAGACTATTTATTACTGTTGGTGAAATGGAATGACCTGTGACTCCAGGCCCATTGGTGACTTTCTTCTGTGCTCATCTTAAGTAGATGATATTCAGTATGGGGGTTCCCCAATTATGAAGCTTTAGGAGGCTTAGAGCGGTTAGAGAAGTACTAGAAATGCTTGCATTCATTGTTAAATCTTTTAATGTGATTGTGTACGTTCTTTTTGCATAAGGGTTCTTGTAAAATCCAATTTAAAGCATCTCTGAAAAAATGGCTCTCAGCTTTCTGCTTAAACACATTTCCCCCCTCTCTCTATTTAATTGCTTTTGGTCTTAATAATTTCTAATTAATATTCAACGATGACATCCCCATCAGATATCCCCTTGAAGAGCGCTATCTTTTTCTCAGAGCTAACCATTTGTCTTATTATTGTATTGCTTTAAAACACAGAATAAATTTTAAAAAAATATCAGAAACTCCCAAAGAAAATACGATCAGTGAATTAATAATACATATTAGAAAAACAGCAAAAAAATTTTTAGAAAGAATCGCTATACAAAATAATTCTGGTCAATCTCTTCATGATATCAACATATATATGACCCACGTGGCCTTTGCCCCAATCTTGACAGAGTTCCATTGAGGAGTGAAGAAATCATTTTTGTTTGTAATAATCGTGGCTGAAGAATAAGAGTGCTGCTTTTAAGTCCAGTGAATAAAGAAATCCATATTTAACAAAAACGTGCTCCAGATGTTTCCACTGTACCCTGCCTTTTCTACATCCAATGCCAGTTGGAGATTTTTTTTTGAAACATATGCCCATAATATCATTTAGTGGTTTAATATTACCCAATGTTTGACGCATTTTATAAAGCCAGATTGCACAAAACCAACATTGACGATGATGATGTCTGTAATCTACAAACCCAAGGCAGTTCTCAGAAGTTTTGGAGCAGTATTTAACAAAACAGGCAACAACGTGTACGTTCAGCATCATCTTTATCAGATTTCAACATTACTGTTATATATGAGCTTCATTTTTAAAAAGTTGGATACACTATTAAGAAAGTATCATTAGAAACATCAAATAAAGGGCCAAAAAAGTGAAACTTATGTCACTGAATAGGATACCAATCAGCACCATGATTTTTCCTCTTTCATAGTTTAAGGCCCCAACCCTCCTATAGTTTTGTAAGGGTCTAAAGACGTGGCTGTGCCAGTTGGCTTGGGGTTCCAGTGGGGGATCAGCACAATGGAGGTGGTTGATTAATAACAGCTCCCACCTCCCCCCATTCTTCCCCCATGTATTTTTGGTTTTAATGTTTGTTTTTAACTTTTTATGTTTTTAGATTTTATGTAACTAAGCCTCCCAGCGTTACTGTTTGGTAAGATGGGTGGCCAATAAATTTTATAAATAAATAAAATAACTAATAATATAAGTTTCTTTAAATAATAAGGGTGGAGCAAAATAGTTCACATGTAATATTTAGATAATGTTTTTTAAAAAAATGATTAATTCCTCTCTCAATGGCCTTTAATTCATCATTGTATATTAAAAAATAAAAATATTGATTTATTAGATCAGATTTTTATATAAATTTTATTAAAAGTAAAAAGGGATAGCAAAATCCGGCATAAAGAAAAATGCAACAAGAAAAGATAAAAAGAAATTCAAGTTTCCAATTTCTTTTGGAAATGGGAAATAAAAGTCTGATTACCAGATTATCTCTTTATAGTTACAAAAAAAAAAACCCAGCTCTCTTTTGTCTATTATCTGATGTTTTAAGGCAGGGGTCTTCAAACATGCTGGCATGCTAGCTGAGGAATTCTGGGAGTAGAAGTCCACANATAAAAGGGCCAAGTTTGAAGACCCCTGTTTTAAAGTCATCAAAGCCACAATCAAAAGTTCATATTTTTCTATTTCATACTAAAATCTGAACAGGTAGTCCTTGACTTAACAACCACAATTGGAACTCGAATGCCTGTCACTAAGCGGTGAGGTCGTAAACGTGACTTCACATGACCACATTGTTTAGCAACAACACTCCCGATCTTTGTTAACTGAATCCCACCAATCATTAGCCAGGGATCCACCTGAATTCAAACCATTCTGGGTTTGGTCCCTCCCATCCCCAAACCTCAGTAAGATCAAGGAGTGCTCTTCTTCAACTCCATCCATTCACCTATCTTCCCTCCCACACACACACACACATCACTGCCATTTGAACTGCCTTGCACCTTGCCTTGTGGGGCAGTAAGCAGCCCAGAACTGCACAATGTTGGGGCTGCTTCCAATACTGCAGCTAAATGGCTGCAAGAAGCCCCTGAGCAAAACCTCAGTGCCCCCAGGAAGCCCCAGCAGCATTTTATTAAACAGTACAAATCAGATGTTTATACTTCTCCAAAGACTGAATTTGGGGGAGAAGGGTTACATACTGCTTTGCACAGGTCTTCAGAGAATAAATAAGCAGAACATTGATCGGTTACTACAAAGATTTCTTCTAGTTAAGTGTTTTGGAGGCATCCCAGACCACAACATCCTAGAATTAATAGCAAAAGCTTTCCTATTATTTGAGGGTTCTGGACTCACCGTTTAGTTTATTGACATGTTTTTCAGAGAGCTGAACAATGTTTTATTTCCCTCTTAATTTCTCTTTTAATCCGAGTCTTGGATTTTATTTTGCCTTTTGCACCCACGATGAACCTGGAAGAGACAGCCTAAAAGTACTAGTACTATAATGAAAAATATAGCTGAGATAAATTTGTTATCACCTTAGGTTCCTCAGTTCATTTTAATATATGTTATGATCTATGTAATATACCTAGAGAAAGGAATACTAGTACAAAATTATTGGACAATGGAAGGTTTAACCCATTGCCGCATCCCTTCAAACTAGAGGAATCTTCACATCAAGGTATTAGACTTTTTACTCTTTCTTCAGCCACTTCAAATGTTTAGGTTATTGTCCTTCCTTGTAAACTGTTCAGTTGTTTAAAGTTTATTATTTCTGCACCAAGCAATCAAGATTTAAACATGAATTTTGTTTGTAAATCTCTGAATCTTAACTTGGCAACTGTTTTGGTACCCTTCAGGTCTCTGTTGCCTATTAATATAACCTACTTTCAGTGAACTTTCCCCTCTTTGACTGTCTGCCTAGTGATTT